TCTCTTCTGAGGTGCTGGGCCTTTTGCCTTCTGTATTGCAGACCGCAACATGTCTAATGTAGCATTTGTTTATGCCCTCAATACATCATGCAGACTATTTCCATTTTCCAGCAAAAAGTAGTCGGATGGGTGCTTTTTGGTACTCCCAGCATGTACCTCAAAGTAGTAAGGTGAAACAACCTACAACTCATGTTCCATTGGTTCAATCCTCAAAGCTTAGATAAATAGGTGGTCATTTTGGAGAAGAAGAGAAAACTCACTTTTCGGCCTTTGCATGAAGAGCATGAGCACAGTATGCCGATGGCTTTGATAACTCACCAGAGTACTGCTCGCTGAAATAAGATGAGAAATAGATCCCTGGTCAAAATTACAGTAACCACAATATTGACCACAGAATAAGACATGGGAAATGCAAGTGCATGGTATGATATCTTGGCCTCCAAAACAGCAAATAGAGATCACATCTCACGTTCACCATAATGCGTCATGTTTTTCTTTTTTTTTTGTGCCGAAAAGATAATGCAGGTGCAGTAGGCCATGCTCATGTCACAGAGGTGCCGAAAATACAATACAAGTGCACTATAGGCTCAATTGGGCTCCTGGAAATGAACACAATGGGAAGAATTAAAAGGGCATGCAATTCCATATCTCGCAGATTAATAAATTTGTCAAAAACCCAACTCCATGGCAGTTCCCAGGGATAGATACACTAAACCTAATCTCCCTACTCATTCTACACAAGAAACAATGCAAACAACTACTGCAATGGGCGGTGGCTTTCCATTCTTGGCTTATAAGCGCACAGATTAAAAGATACGGTCACCATGTTTGAAGTAAAAATGCTATCACGGACAAGAAAACAAATCGGCAAAATTAAACAAGCACCTCCGTAGATGAATCGTCAAGAAATTAATAATTTGCCACGCTTGGAATAATTTTTGGTACTATGTAGTAATAATCTTTTGTTAGCACGCCTCAAATTTTGGAAACAGATTTGAATCCGATGAAGAGAGAAATCGAAAAGATTAGTTCAATGATGAGTAGCACGAACAACACGTACATGCCGGCACACGCACCACGTAGGCACGTACCTAGATGGGCCGCACGTCCATGTCGGCCCGGTGCGTGACAATGGGCGGGCGGCCGGTGCCAAGCGTGGCGACGACACCGGTGCGCGTGACCAGGTGGCGGAACTCGACACCCAGGGCGTCCAGCTCGTCGCGGGCGAGGCACGCATAGGAGGAGCGCTTCACGTCGAGGTCACCCTCCAGCTAGCGCGCCTCACGCTATAAGGTCGAGATGGCGGACTAGAGGGGGTGAATAGTCCTTTTTAAAATTAATCACGTCGGCTAACCGAAACAAGTGCGGAATTAAAACTATTGGTCTAACCAAAACTACACCCCTCTATTTATGTTCTCTAGCACCTTCCAAGGATACTAATTAAGCAAGAAAGGTGCCGGGCTAGCTAGAGCTCACCTAACCAATTCTAGAAGCAAGGTCATACAAACTTATGCTACTATTACTTTAAGCAACAAGGGAGCTCCTACACATGCTAGTAAGCAAAAACACAAAGCCACCTAAGCTCACTAGCAATGCTCAATAACAAGGCAACCAATGCCAAATTAGAGAGCGCAAATACTTAGCTACACAAACTAAGCAATGTGACTAACAAGGTTACACAAACCAAATTAGCCACGCAAGGGAGCTACTTCTATCCTACACAAGCAAGAAGGTAACAATTGAGCTACACAAGCTTAACTAGATACAAGAGCAACTACACAAGCACAATGTATATGAAAGTAATTATAAGCTTGTGTAACGAGGATGCAAACCAACGGGAAGAACAAGGTTGACACGGTGATTTTTCTCCCGAGGTTCACGTGCTTGCCAACACGCTAGTCCCCGTTGTGTCGACCGCTCACTTGATGGTTCGGTGGCTAATTGGCATCACCCGCCAAGCCCGCACGTCGGGCACCGCAAGAACCTACCCCGAAAGTGAGGATACCTCAATGACCCACTTTACTAGAGTTGCTCTTCGCGGCTCCCACGGGACGAGCATAATGCCCCTCACAAAGCTCTTCTCCGAACACCGCACAAGCTTTTTGCGGGCTTCGACGGAGACCACCACCAAGCCGTCTAAGAGGTTGCAACATCCAAGAGTAACAAGCACCACCGGCTTGCAACTCGATCACCTAATACCACCCGATGCAACCTCACGATACAATCGCACTAGAATCGCTCTCTCACACAATCGGATGATCACTATCAAGCATATGTGAGATGGAGGGCTCCCAAGCACTCTCAAGCATGGACACAAAGTCTCCCAAGGTGCTCAGCACCAGCTATGGCCAAGGCCACCTTCTATTTATAGCCTCACGAGGCTAAACTAGCCGTTACTCCTTCACTGGGCAAAACTCGGGATGACCGGACGGTCCAGTCAGATCGACCTGACACTGGACCCCAGCATCTAGTCGTGCGATGCATGCCACGTGTCGCCTCCGTTCAACCTCAGTCACTTGATCTCAATGGTCAAGTGATGACCGGACGCGCTGCTGCGAAGTGACCGGACGCTGGACCTCAGCGTCCGGTCATTTCCAGTAAGGTACCAGTCGTGACCAAACGCGTCCGATCGGTCATGATTGGACGCAGCATCAGCGTCCGGTTCTTCTCCACCTTCTCTATGTCGCCTACGTCACCGTGTCAGCCTGACCAGACGCACCCTGCCAGCATCCGGTCACTTTCAGCGCCAGTGTCCAGTCGAAGACCAACGCCTGCACGCTCTCTGCCGCCACTGACCGGACGTAGGACCCCAGCGTCCGGTCCACTCTGTGAGACCCTGTCTTTTCTGTATAGGGCGCCGGTGGCACCATCGAATTGTCCGCACTCTACGGGCGGGCACTTCACCGGCGGAGTTCCTAACCCTTCTCGCCTCCTTTTCATCGCCAAGTTGATCCACATCAACTCCAACTTCATCTCCTTTATAAATGTGCCAACACCACCAAGTGTACACCATCATGTGTATGTGTGTTAGCATTTTCACAATTATTTTTTCAAAGGATTAGCCACTCAACTTGCCACGCCACTCAATCCTAGCGACGATGCAAAGTTAGATCACTCGAGTGGCACTAGATGACCGATATGCAAACAAGTTTGCCCCTCTTGATAGTACGGCCATCTATCCTAAATCCGGTCATCAACTTTTCTATACACCTATGACCGGTGAAATGAAATGCCCTTGGTTATACCTTTGCCTTGCGCATTCCATTCCATCTCCTCCAATGTCGATGCAACACATGTACCAACATGATCAACAATGATATGATCCACTTCATATCATCATGTGATCATATTGGTTCATCGATCTTGACTTCACCTGATTTTCACCGTTGCCTTCGTCCATCGGCGCCAAGTCTTGCTCAAGCTTCACCGCCACGCGGTCCATCGCTCCAAAGCTTTCGACTTGCCCTTCACGTTTACAATCGGTCCATCAAGCCAAGTCTTGTCTTGATCTTCTCCACCTTGATCACATGACTCAATGTCATGTCTCATGTGCAATAAGCTCCTTCATCATGACATGTGTGAGCTTTGCAACATCTCCAAGCCATTTTCACCTTCATGGCATATGTTGCTCACACATATGTACCTGTGGACTAATCACCTGTGTATTTCACATAAACACAATTAGCCCACCTAGGTTATCATTCAATTACCAAAACCACACAAGGACCTTTCACACGCTGCAGCTCCTCCCACTAAGACTCCTGCAGCTCCAGCGCCACGGCCGCATCCGACGATGATGACATCATCTCTGGCTTCGGCATCGGCACCGACGAAGCGCAAGATCCAATCCGACGAAGGGTCCGGGGTCGCTTGTGACGCGAAGAAGAGGGGAAAGTGGGGAGTACCTCCGATCTGGATCCGGGCGCGGGGCCGTGCCATCGTGGGGAGCTTTGGACTTGCAAGGAGGGTGGGCGCGGCCGGCGTTATGGCCAGCTTCGGGCGGGCGCGGGCTACGTCACGACGAGCTACGGGCGGGTGCGGCGGCGACGTGGCTAGCTGCGGGTGGGCGACGATGGGGAGGCGGGCAGAGGAATCACAGGAGCGGTTTCCTTTTGTGCGGCGTGGACTCGCGGTGATCGCAGGGGAAGGCGGTGCGGGATTGCAGGCGTGGGCAGACGGACGAACCAAAACAAATATCGCGTAAAAAAATATCCACACTTTGTTCTTTTTAGTTGTAGGAGATAGAGATTATTCTATTTTATTTACTTGCCTTCCAGTGTCTTCATGCGGTGATTATTTGCCTGTCGGTGATTCCGTGAGTTTTATTCCATTTTATTTACTTGTCTTCTAGTGTCTCCATGCAGTGATTATTTGTTTGCCGAATATAGATCGCATGAGATGCGGTGATTATTTGCCTGCCGGATATGGATCGTATGAGTGTTTTAGTCCTGCCGGATAGATGTTGACAATCCGTGTGTTTTAGTTGTATATAGATAGTTGTATATAGAGTAGATCGCATGAGATGCGGTGATTATTACTTGTCGGATACGAATCACATGAGTGTTTTTGTCACATGAGTGTTTTTGTCATGTCGGATAAATGTTGACATTCGGTATATTTTAGCTGTAGTAGATTTGCACTCCTAATCAGCATGGGTCCTACGCGATGGAGACGTAAGATGTGCGTGTAATCGACAAAGCAACCGGCCAACCACCACGTGTCCACTTGTATTTTTCACTATTTTAGTAATTTTTTATTGAACGAATATTATTTTCCTGTGTTAGCACAAGCATAAGCTAAATTCAACTTGCCTGTTTAATTGTGACTTATCGTAAATGATCGTAAATTTTCAACTAAAATAATATTTTTTTTCAACGATCTGCATTCCTCTGACCCCGCCTCCGAGTCGGTTAGGAACTCTGCTTCTTTTCTGATTTGATTTGAATCCGGCCATCCGGGCCAGGCGCCCTCCGAGCTTTTGATTCGATCTCGCGCCGCCGATGACGAAGCCCCGCGCCGCCTCCCCCGCGATCGCGCGCGAGGAGTGGGAGGCCACGCGGCCGTCCAACGCGCTGCGCAGCGCCGTCCGCCGCCGCGCCGCCTCGGTGTCAGAGAAGCTGGCGGCGCGTGGCCTCGGCGCGTTCGTGTGGCGCAAGAAGCTGGACCGCGACCTCTCCCGCGGCATCCTCCCGGGCATCGTCTCGGTTCGGTCCGAGCGGCGCCGCTACCTCGCGCGCTGCAGGGAGGCCGACGGGGTCAGGGCGGCGTCGGCCGCGGCGCGACGCGCGTCGTCGCCGCCGCCGGTGCCTCCTGCCGCGTTGCTGGCTAGGGCGGAGGAGGAGGAGGCGAAGGAGGTCGCGTTCCTCCTCCAGCAGGGCAGGCTCCGGGCCGCGATACGGTTCGCCGAGGGGCGCGCCCGGCGCATCGACATGCTCGTGGAGTCTCTCCGCGGGGCGCGCCGGTGCGCGCTCGGGGCGTTTCGTGGCGCGTCCGCGGAGGAGCTGAAGGAGCTGGGCGAGGAGATCGGGACGCTGGCCGATCTTGACAGGGAGAACGAGGGCTTCTGGGAGGCCGCCCAGTTACTCTGCGATGCCGAGATGGTGAAGGCCGCCGGCGCCGGGGCGGACGGACGCAGCGGCAGGTCCTTGCACTCGGAGGTTGCGGCCGACGTGATGAGCGTCGTCGAGGGGAAGAGCATCTAAGAGCTTGAAGCAATGCAGCAGACCATCGCCGCTCGGATGGCTGACGGCGAGTCCAAGGTCGTCGACCAATTGCAGGAGGTGACGGAGCTCATCCGGGTCGAGAAGGCCAAGAAGTTCCTGGCGCAGAACTACTCCACCTGCGACGACGCGCCGGCACCGGTGCCGCCCTCCGACTCTGACAAGGAGAACACGGAACAGCCGAACAGGAGCGCGGACGCAGCACCGCGGCGGACGACGATGAGGAGGGGTCGGAGCCGCTCGGCGAGGTGGCGTTGCCGCCGACAGAGACGCTGCCCGCGGGGCCGGAGTGGAGGAAGCCCAGGTACGTGGCGCGGGTGCGGACGGGGCACGAGTGGAACAAGTACAACCGCGTGCACTACGACCACGACCACCCGCCGCCCAAGGTCGTGAAGGGCTACACGTTCGTGCTCCACTACCCGGACCTGGACCTCGCCGGCGGGAAGCCTCCGCAGTACACCGTCGAGGAGGACGGCAGCGGGAGTGACGAGACCTGCATCGTCAGGTTCCACGCGGGGTGGCCGTACGAGGACGTCGCGTTCAGGATCGTCAACAGGGAGTGGGAGCGCTCGCGGAAGGCGGGGTTAAGGAGCACCTTTGACAGGGGCGTCCTGCGTCTCAGCTTCCACTTCAAGCGCGTCTTCTACCGGAGATGAGAGATGACGGCGGTTGATCTCAGTGCCGCCGTTTGTAATTAGATGAATCAAGACTCAAAGACACGATTGGATCCTTTGTTTGCTCATCTGGAACTGGCCTGTAAAAGTGTAAATAGTAGAGTCAGGTTAACTGTGTCAGCTGTCAGCTATTGCAGAAGAGGTTTCAGTAAAGGACCTGGTGGTGAATACCAAATTAATCATTCGTCGGTTTTGTTTACAGTTTATTTACACACTATCTCCGCGTCAGCTATCTTCAAGCTCAGCTTCGTCATAGGCTTGTTACTTGTGGAGACCATGTGAGTCATAATTCCTCATTTGCAAGTTGCCTGTCTGTTGCGGTGCCTCTTTGAAACTTCAATTTGCATCTGCATCTGTCTAGGAACCAGAAATCTCCTAAGCTCTATATGGGTGCAATGTAGTATGCCTCAACTAAACATGCCTCGGTTTGTGAGTTTGTCTAGCTGAACTCTGTAGAGTGTAAACCATGAGTCTGTCACCCATCAGTAAATGTCAAGATTCAAAAGTATATATCTGCCTTTCCTAGCGTCAGCAAAAGGTTCATTGTTTTTTTCTTTGAGACGAAGGTACATTGTTGTTATAGGCCTTTATTAAACTTCTGGGCTTGGGCCGATGCTCTCTTTGAAAAGAACACAGAAGTGCGCAGAAGGGCCCAAAATCGTGCTATGCAACACATTTTTGTCAGGTGTATTTGCAGGGTTCTGCACTTCAGTTTTTGTCAAGAAAAAAGAAGTTCAGACGGAAACAAGTACTCACACTGAACCTTGCTAGCGACCGCTAATTCATCTTCAAAACATATTTCTTCTTTGCTTTTCTGATTTGCCTTTCTCGAGCAGGCTTTCACATGAAAAAATCATTCAAACTCGATAATGTTTAATCATTGGGGATACAAGCGCCCGCACCTCTTCCGTCGCGCCCGCCGCTCCTTCTCCCTGACCCCCTCCTCCCTCTCTGCGAGTCCGGACGCCCGTACCTCCTCCATCACGCGCGCCCGCCACTCCTTCCCCTTGACACCCTCCTCTCTTTCTCCGCGCGAGCGGGACTCAGGAGCCGGGATGAGGACGAGCACGCCCTGTCCACATGACCCCAGCGTGCCCCATCCGTCGGTCCCCGGCTCGCCTGAAACATGAAGCAATTGAATGCAACATACGTAGAAAACAGAAATATTTGGAATATACACTTGCAACATATGTGTGAAATATATGCAACATCCAGATAAAACACTTGCAACTTGCAACATAAAAACAATTATTGCAACATAAGACTAAAACAACTGAAACATTTGGAGCATACTCTTGCAATATATGTGTGAAACATATGCAACATCCAAATTAAAACGCTTGCAACAAAAGATGAAACATTTTGAACAAACTCTTGCAACATGCCTCTTAAACACTTGCAACATCCCGTTCTATTTTTGCAACATCCATATAAAACACTTGCAACATACCTCTGAAACATCCAAAACACTTAAAACATACTTACAACATGCATTTTTAGCACATCGCACCGTCTCCTTGTTGCTTGGGACAATGGAGACTCGTTGGCACGTGGAGTTTGTCAGAGGCGGTAGCCCGACGGCGGGCTAGCCGTCGGTGTTCCTCCGGCCGTACGACCTGCTCCGCTCGCTCCACAGTTTCCATTCTTCTATTTCCTGGTGAGTTTCCTCCAAACGTCCCTGTGTTGCCCTGTAAGGACTCATAAGGTTTACTGATCTGGTGCCACCTATTCTGTTAACAGATCTGGCGCTGATTCGTATAGCAACACCTCAGCTATATATTGACGCTATATGTTCTTACCACATGCTATATGTTCGTTGGAAATAGCTACATTGTCTTTGTCACATGTCTTCCTATTGTTGTGCTTGAACGATTGGTCCAGTAGCTTGCACTGTCTCATATGCTCAAACCCACCGTGTATATGCTGTTGATTTGGGTCCATGTATTTTTTTAGTGTTTCGGCACCTCCCGTTTCTTTTCCTTCACATTGTGCCACCAAATGTTCAAATCTATGACACCGAACTCTGTTTTCCGCTTGTGCTTGTCCTATGGATGCGCTGGTTTTAGGTCGTCCGTTATCAATCATACTGTGCTTTGTTTGTTGTTTCAGTGTCTCTGTTGTAGTGCGCACAGCTCCATTGTTCAGATTTTTACTCTGTGTTCCTACAAATCTACAGGCGAGCCTCCTGCTGCTGGTGCCTGATTTCTGAATTGCTCTGGTGCTGTTGCCGTGCCTGCTAAATTGTACACCGGCGCCACATTTCAAACTTATTGTTAAACAGGTACCTAACGTCCCTATTTTTTTGTCCCAATGGTTACCACTCTATTACTCTTATGTACAATTCGCATCAGCTTTGTACCAGTTCTTTTGTTACATATTTCCCTGCAGTCATCTAACGTGTTCCTTTTGTTCCCTTTTCTTTTGCCTCTTAACAAAAAGGGGGCAGGAAAAAAAAACAGATTTCCCCCCTCTGTGTTGTCTTTTTCCCCCCTAGCTTAATACTTTCTGGGCGGCCACAGAAAACCTCCGCCAGATATATGAAAATCCTCAAGCATACAACTGCTGAATGATACATCTATCACCTCAAAATCTTACCTTTATCTGTGTACATCCTTGGATTTACCTACAGATATAAGCTGTCCTTCACTGCTGAGGATGATACAGCCCAAGCAAGGTTTTCTTGTCATGATGATACTGCTCGACAGATCGTGCGTCGGAACTGCACGGCGTTGATAAACCCTTTTAAGACCTCAAATGCTTTTCCTAAACCGCTGGCTGATGTTATTTCAAAAACTTTCACTCTTGGTATTGGACTAACCAGTGAGTCATACCGTTCCATGGCATCCCGAACATACTTGGTTAAATCCATCCTATACCACCCAGATCTACATCGGCCTCCACTACATCCTAGCCTTATTCAGTCACACAACCAACCTCCACTGATCACACCATCCATATGTCATATAGCAGGACCTTCACATAGTGCACCTCCACATGAGATAGAGCGACTGGATGCTGCCGCTTTACAGCATCGTAGTTCACACGTATGTTTACTCCATCTTTCGTTTGTTCAGTTTCATTTAAATCTTATTCCCCCCTCGTTTTATTCACTACATGTATGAACTTGCCTGCATAATCTTTTATGATGAAGTATGATTGAGTTATTGATTTAACTTGGTTTAAGCTTATTAAATGGTTCAAAAATATTTAAATATTCCGTTTAAAATGCATAATGAAGTAATGACCTGTACCTACCTTTTTAACCTGCACCAAAGTGGACAATCATAGCACTGCCTTTTAAAAGTAATTTAGACAAACAAATAAACAATAGAAGTAATCATTCCTATATTCCTTATGTTAGCTCCGGTGAACTCCACTGCAGTCCCAGTTGGGGACAGAAGTGCACGAAACACTCATGAAGCAAATAGCCCTTACCTCACTTAGAGCAACTCCAACAGCTAACAGCTTCGCTATTCTGGTTGTGGAGACTATTTTACAATTTGCATAGCAAAAACTAGGCTCCAACAGCTGTGCTATCTAACTTTGTAAAATAGGAATACCTTGTATTTACTGCATATATGAGAACCACTGATTCATGGATACTTATACAATGCTCGGTGTATGAATATTAAGGGAAAAATATTTTTAGTAGAGCATATGACCAATTTGGGGATTTCACTATGGTTCACTTATGCCATCTTATTCTTATGATTCATTAGTTGTGATTCTAATCTGGATGCATGAAAAATATGCTCATTTAATACCTCCTCTTTATTTGCCCTTTGATTCACACACTTCTCCATTTGTTGACAGCCATCTGCACCATATTTACAACCTGCTGACACAACATTAGAAGAGGCACCTACCAGGTAAGTAACCATGGCAGCTAGCTAATGTTCTTATGTTCGTGACTAAATGTAGTTATCCTTCCACATCTAACAAACGTGACATCGGTGTGTTCCTGTATTTTACCAAAAAAAGCAGAACACCTCAGCATTATGAACCCGGTGGTTTCCCTGTGCAACACCCCGCTGCAGATACCCAGGAAGTATTAACCGTTGTCAGCACAAGTGCTCTTAACATTTCGGTGCGCCCACCTTATTTGTATCATTTATATTTATTTGCATTTCACTATACTAACATACATCTTCATCCTTCTATCGTAGACACCACCTCCAAGTATTAATCTCAAACAAACACCCCAAAAGGACACTGTCGCTGAGTAAGTCAACCTCTGATCAAATCTAAATGTCCTCCATGCTTTTATGTAGGCCTTCATAACATATTTATACACTTTTGAATTTATAGCTTCTTCCCAGAGAAGCAATCTGTCCAAAGGTCCCTCTTCCACAGTGCAACAACAGATGAAGAGGTTAGTAGCCGCTGCGGTGTAAATTTTCCCTTTTTTATTTTCGTTCTCATAGTATCTACAAATTTGGTGCTCCCACAATATATCAGCTAATTCTATGTTATTTCCATATATGCATTTCAAGTCCTGAACTAATGTACATGTTTAAATTTGCTATGTTAGGTGCAGACCAAAACACTAGCTAAAGCATCTAACACAAACCTGGTTCCCAGTGATGGTCCAAGTGAGAATGGCCCCATTCGCTTCGCTGAAAAAACAAGGCGAAACACTGTTCCTGCTGATTTGTTGTGAGAGAAAAACACTCTTCTGGCTGAAAAACAAGCTGAAAAGTACGGATTATAAGAGAAGCGAACATGACCTTACATAGATTTCTAGGCTATCTATGTCCTGATCCTGATATATGTCCTAAACAATGCAGGCCAAGACTTGGGAGTTCCAAACCTGAAACAAAGACCGTCAATTGCAAAGCTCAGTAACTACATATCTACTTTTGCAACAAGTCAGCACATACATATACCGTTATAAATACACTCTGACTATATCTGTTATCACATAAATATTTTCCCATGTGCCCTCAAAGTCCTATTTTCAATAGTGATTGTTCTTATCTCAT